ACACACATTCTCTCCATTCTTGTTTTGGGTATTTGAGTTGTTTCTAATTTCTCACTATAAATATCATTAGGGCATTGAAATTCTAATTTACATCTCTTTGTGCATAAACATTAATAGTATAAACCTGTAATCTAGAAGAATTAGAATTACAGACTTCAAGGTATGTGCAACTACACATTTATTGGATTTTCCAATGGAGAAAACCAATTTGCACACCTACCAAGAGTGTATGACTATTCTTTTCCCACAATCTTGCAAATATTTGTTTTTACCCGATTATTAAATTTCACCAACTAAATGACTTGAACTGTTACTTAGGCATTTTTCTTGTTTTTATTTTTATTTTTTTTAAGGGTTAGCTTGGATATCACTTCCTTCAGGAAGTCTTCCAGGTAGGCAGACCAAATTAGTTGCTCTTTTATGAGGCCCTGTTTGTGGCTGAACTCAGCACTCTGAATACTGCATGTCTTTCTCCCCAGCATCACTCTTTGCTTTTTAATGAAAGGTACTGCATAGTTTTCTTCTCCCCATCTCAAATTCCATGATAAATATTTATTGAATTAGTAGATTCATGAGGGAGAAATACCCAAGGAACAAAATAAGAAATTGGCTTCTTACAGAAAAGGATTTTCCTATTGATATAAAGTCACCATAATACTAAAGGCTACGGGATGGTGGATTCAATTATAAAATAATCTCTCAACAGGAAATCTTTTATCTAAGATATATGTCCATGTGTACACCTATATCTAGAAAAGCATAGAAACGACCCAGCCAGGGAAATTATCTAATGAATTTGCCATGTATTTTTCTATGATAAAATACTATGAAACATATTTATTTATTCTGGTAAAACAAAATGGCACTATATCATAATACAACACACTTACTTTTCAAAGTTAAAAGGCACATTTATTTTAATTTGGTTCTTCTTGTTCAGTTTCTTAAGCTATTATGGTAACTATAATAGCTATCATAAATATGACAAGAAGACCTCCCACCTAGTGACTGCCTTCAGCACATCACTTGAGGTGGTACTTAAGTACAAGCAGTTGTCTTCTCTTTCTTAGTGGACCACAGGACTGGAATGTCTTTGAATTCTTATTAACTAGAATCGATTGCTTTATTTGCTATTACATATAGCACTTCCACTTTTACTATCATGTAAAACAAGCAGATCTTAAAAATTTAAGAGAAATGAAAGAAAACATGGTATTGTGAATTGAGTCAGCAAAACCTTTAAGATGAAAGCAATCTGTTTAAGATGTAATATAACATAATCTTGTACTGTACTTTCATCTTAAAATAATAATAACTGCACTAACAAAGACATCTCATTGTAAATTGTTCAAGTTATTTTTTGTAAATTATTGTCATATTGTAAGAGCAACCTGGACAAAGTTAAATTGACCCTACCTAAAATTCTGGCTAAGCCTCAAGATAAAATAGTTTAGTAAAAAGAGCAAAGCTCTTAGACACAGACCTTAAGGACTGAGTTTCCCCTAAACTCCTACCAATAGTGTGAGTTAAAGCAGTTCCCTTCTCCCATTCCTCATCGGGCTTGAAGACCTGCAGGTGGTCTCTAGAGGTCCCTTTCTATTAGAAAGTCTTTTGTAAAACAAATTTACCAGACATACAAAATATCTTGAAAATAATCAGTTACTCTAAAATATGAGACCAAACTTTTAATCAAGGGACAAGAGAATAATTAGCCATGGATCCTCAGCAAATATGTCACTATGGAAAAAAATTGAATATAAGATGGAAGTAAGAATTATGGAAGGTTAACTGTTTTGTTCTCGTTATTGTTGTTTCATCTATGGTGAAATGCTCTTTGGAGGCAATTTCTAATTAATCCATCCATACTCTTACAGAGCTGAGGGAGAGATATCTGAGGAAACTGCGGTGGAGAGAGATGCAAGCCGTTCTAACAGAAAACCAGTGGCAAAACCAAGAGTACAAACCAGGCTTCCTGACCTGGGGATTTTTGTTCATAAGCTGCCTCTACCGTTTTCACTAATACATTATAGTTTTTATTTAGTAAGGCTTATTTTTATTTAATAAGGCAAAGAGAGAAGATGAGGCAGTAATTATGTTTTGACATTGCTGTAATAATTTAAAAAAATACTGATCATATCAACATGATCATCAAATATACTATTTCTTTCTTCATCATTTAAAGAGAAGCACTAGGCTGCTTCTATTCAGTATCATTTTTCAACATTTATCAGACTAATAATGACCCTTCTGGCACTCTGTTGTAACCTGTACCACAAGCTGTATATTCCCATTCAATGAGAATCTGGTTAGGGATTCAAAGATTTATTACAATAGGTTTAATTATATGGAAATATAAATAGGCTTAATGGTCTTGGAGCTTCATGAGAAGAAAGCACACACACACACAAAAACACTACTCCACATAAATAATATGTCAGAAACAGAAATTATTCACAGAAGTATTCTATAGCAGACTAAATAAAATATATAAATCATTTTTTCAAGGTAAAAATAAAATAACACAGCCCTCCTAGTGAGATGGCCTACATCACAACATGCTAACAAACACCAGCCTCCACTGCCAAATAAAATTTAGCAGGGCAAGTCTTGTCCAAGTAGTGTATCAACAGTCAACCCATATGGATGGATAAAGTGCCAAATTACTTTGGAAGGCAGAGCCATGCCCAAAGACTCAATAAAAGATAATTTGTATTCAGCACTAGGAAAGTTCAACTTAGTGCAAAGCATTGATCTGCATTTTTATGGAGACTGACTTTGGAAGAGATGTATGTATATACACAGATCTACGTCAATCTTTACCTGTGCAAGTCTGATTGGATTCATCTTCATTACTCCCACAGTCATTAGTTCCATCACAAAGCCATCTCTTGGGGATACAGCGATTATTCTGGCATTTAAACTGATCATCAGAACAGCTGTGATTGACTGAGGTTGGGCAGGGTGAAGGCAGAGGAGAAACAAGTTTAATGATTTAAAGTTTGATAAAATTGTGATTAAGTTGTACTTACAGAAAAGTTATAGGAATTATAATATTATAATACAATAAATGCCCTGGTTTCTCTCATTCATGATTTCACATTTTATAGAAAATAATATCCTAGGCTCTGTTAAAATGTAATACTTTCATAGAAGATGTCAAGTAATTAAATCTCATGTGAAAGGAAATATACTCATTTTTTGTCTTCACTAAAATCAAATACATGTTTTTTCCCCAGCTGTTACCATAAGAGGTAACTCAATTTCAAAATTTTTACCAAAAACACTTAACACGAACCTCAAATTTTCATGTGAAATATAACAAGTGTGCATCAAATAATTTATCACATATAAAAAATTACTTTTTTTTAAAACCATACTTTCACTCAAGCACTTCTTGAAATACTAAATAAGCCTAATTTTGTTATGCTTTGTCCAGTATATTTTCGGGACTGGAAGGAAAATACAGAAAAGAAAAATTCATCACTTGTGACCTGGGGTTGATGCTAAAAATGAGATAATTTTAATTTTAATAACAATTTTAATAACAAAAATGATCATCATGAGTTCTCTCTCCTAGTACAAACAAATAAACATGCAATCACGAGATATACCAAGGACAAGACCGGTTCTCATATGGGAAGCTGTGCACAGCTAAGGATTAAACCTCTAATATCGAAGCACAACAGGAGGCCATCTTAAAGTTAACCTTCTGTGATTATTTTTCCTGCATTGCAGAGGATAAATTCCTAACTGAATTGGCATGCTCTTCGCTATCCGTTTCACGACTTCAATATTCTTCCTAAAGTAATTTTCCTTGTGCCTAGTAGTTTCACTTCAGTGTGATAAAAATAAATGTGCATAATAGTTTGACTTAGAATTTGAAAATAGCCATTTTATCATGCTGTTGCATTACAAATATATGCCTTTCCAGTCAGTTCTACAAAATATTATTTCTTTAAAACAACTTTGGCAATAAAATGGTTTATCATTTTGTAGAAAGTTTTTATGCATGTAGAGCTAAAAAAATAGTAGAGGGAAAAGCACTGAGTATGATGAACTTTTTCTTACTTTAGAGACTTTGGCAAGAATATCTGCTCATGAAAATCAAAGTCATCGCACATATATAAGGGTCAACATTTTAAAGTACCAAGATTATGATCAAAGAACTTTGTAATTTTCATCAATGATGTTCAAAAAGCGAGAGCAAATGCAATCCATAGTCTTGTGAGATGAAATTGAGAAGTTAAACGATAGAATGTATAATGACGACAGAATTCAAAGTCAAAGCTTGTGAATACTTAAAATCTAAAATAATCCTCAGAAATGAATTATGTAGTGCTGAAATATGAACCATGTGACCTCAGGACAATTATGCTGCTCAGAATCACTGCAATGTCTAGAGGAGACATTGTACTGCTGGAAGGTGGCCAAATGTATTTTACTTTCCCATTGACCTATTTATTTAGTCATCCATTCATCCATGTGCAAGGTGCTATACTAGACTGAGACTACAAAAACGCGACAACATAGTGTGTCTTCTCATGAAGATAGTCATCTACTAGATGCACCATATGAAAAATCATGTAATTGCAATATGGTTTGCTGACTATCACAATAAAGGAATACACAGGAGATATTTAACTCCAAATGGGCTATATTGGGAAGGAGATTTTTTGGTGTTTAAAAGCACCTCCCGATGGAGGTAATGGTAACTCCGGTGAATTCTACCTTTAGAATTCCATGTCACAGAGGAGAGAAATAGGGCATTTCTTAGAGATCTACTTGTTATTCAACTTGATAGGGAGAAAAAAGGTAAGTGGATACATGGTAGACATTTATAGCCAAAGATGTAAACATGAAACATAACATGAAGTATCTTATATGTGAATCAATGGTTTTTAGAATTTATCCTATCAGCTATGTAGTTACTAAAATAAGATTAGATTTCAATCTATAAATACCTCTCTGGAAGCAGTGTGGAAAGTTATGGGAGGAATAATGGTAGGAATAATGGCAGGGCATTTGCTGAGTTAATCTAGGACAGGAGCCTAATTTAGCCAGTAAAGAGTTAAAGATAAAACATTAGCCCATGGTATGGGCTGGAGTGATGAGACAGAGAGTGACAAAAATAATCAAGAAAAAATACTGATTAGGAATTTTAAACAGTTAAAATGTAACATCCCCTATACTTATAAGGAAATGAGTTTCTTTGTGAGTTGGTGAAAAGAACAAACACACAGATAGAAGCATGGACCGAGAGGACGACTGCATGAATACTGTGATGAAATATTTGTGCTCTGCACAGGCATTCAGGGGCTGCACAGGGAGCTGGTATGTAGGGAGCATTCACTAAAACCATGAATAAATGTGATTTTATCCATGAAGCAATGAGGCAATTAATTTAATCAATAAAAAGAATACATCATTTATGTAAAGAAGTAGGAAAAAAAATCCGTTAGTCTTCGATGAAATGCTCTTACCTCTCCAAAACTCTTGGCTAATTGTGTCAATTTATTACTTAAAGTTTTATCTGAGGATTCATACTTTACAGTATAGATATTAATGGAGTTTAAAATAAGTACATAATGCTGAATTCAGAGTCCTTGTTTGAAAATTAGGAGAAAGTAGTGCCACATTTATGTATTAATTACAACTATTGTGGTAATTATGTTGTAATTATGTACTTATATACAATTGAAAAATGTTTTTAAGTCTATACTTGGTGCTTTGTCTCAAAACACACAGAGCTGTACAAATTATATGTCCAGGTCAGTTTTGTCCATTCTTAACAAAAGATCTTTATAAGTTTAGTTTTATATTCTTGATTTTGAAAATAGAAAAGAAAACGGAGGACTGTTGATTAGCAATTAGTTAAGACCCTTTAACCTGGAAAATATCATTACTTGAAAGAACAATAAATTTCTCTTTAAAATAATGTATTTAGATCAAATCAAGACACGTATGTCCAGCACATAGCTCTATACATTAAAAATATTTTATATTTCTCAAAGCCATTTAGGTAATGTCTCTAATCAAATGTATTTTCAAAACATTATTTAAGGTTTTTATCAAATGTATTCCTTCTACATATGTGGGATATTTCCTTATCCCAACCAGAAACATGAAACTATTTCTATTGTAACAAATGATAAGCAGCTAATAGCAGCCAAAGGGGAGAAAAATCAGCCTTTAATTTCTATCTGAATGCCCATATGCGTTTCCCACCATGTACTGAGTTAGTGCAGTTGGGTAATAACATGTTCCAAACCCATGTCTGTTTCCTTGGATCTTCCTCAAGACTCTGTTGCCAAGGAGCAGTGGGGTAGATCGTGACCTTCTGTACAAGTAATTCTGTCTTGAGGGAGTTTAAATTGATTTTCTACATCTTTAAAATTCAGAGATCCACAGGGGTCTCCTGTAGCAACCTTCTGACAATGGTGTGGTTTTACTGGCAGCATAAAAGAGGAAAGAAGAGGACTTCTGGAGCAACCAAAATGATAATATTAAAGATGGGAAGGATGAGAAAAACAGTGCTTTCAAAACTATGTGGAGAAGGCAATCTACAGTCTGATCTCTACACAAGAGGGTGACTGAGAAAAAAATAAGTTCAGTTTGCATCAGAGACATTTTTAGATTTTTGTGAACTGTTCTAATAGTTCACCCACTCAAAGACTCAGAAAGATTTAACATGACTTGAAGGAGAACATACAGCAATTGGCTGAGTCTTCGTCACTCCCATCTAGGCAGTCGTCATCACCATCACATTTCCACCGAGCTTGGATGCAGCGTCTGTTTTTGCATCGAAATTCTCCAGCTTTACATATGTGAGGTAATACTTCTCCAGGATTGACTAGTGTTAAAAAAAAGAAAAAGGAAAATCCATGGTATCTGAGCAATACTAGCTATATCCAGTTCATTAAACTATTTTTATTATAACAATGGTTTGTTTCATCTTATAGAAAATAAGAAACATCCTAACATTGCAGTGACAACCATCTTTGGAAATGAGGATATTTAAAGTTTTTCTGAAAGTAATCATTCTATTACAAATGTTCAATACTTATTTTAAACAATTATCTCCAAAATAATAAATAACAATAATATAATACCTCCTTATATTTGTGTTTGGTTTGTAGTTGTACTTTTTAAAGGGTTTTCATTCACAACCTCCATCAATCCACATGAGAGCCTATGAGGTAGGCATGGGAAAGAATTTTACTACCTCCACCTTGTAGGTAAGTCCAACAAAATTAATCAAAGTGAAAAGACAAGGGAAGAACACAAAGCATTGATGGCTCTATCTACTTTGCTGGTCTGCAAGTGGGATAAAAACTCAGGTCTGGTTAAATGTTCAAGGAAGCATTAAGTTAATCAAAACAATCTAATTATGTATTTGGATTCTATGCAGTGTTTTTCTCCATATAGTCCATGCTCTCTAATCAAATGTAAGGAAATCAGTTAATTGGGACTTAATCACAAATTGAAAGTGTTATTATTCTTCTTCTGTTCTCTTAGAGTGAATTAGATAACATCTAGAAGGGGAATATATGGCAATATATATATATATATATATTTGTGTTTCATGGACTGAAAATGGCGCAGGATTATCAAAAACTGGTTTATTGTGAGAAGAAGTAAATTCCAGCTTTTCAATCCCAGTTCTAATGGTTTTAAACTGCATTTTGGACAACTGATTTGGACCGATGAACTATCACAAAACCTATATACAGTACAAAAATAAGGGATATTGAGAAAACGCATGTGTCATTTCCAGAACATTCAGTGTTAGCACTACCTTAATCCTTCTATTTTCCCTGCTGAAAAGAATGGAAGAGGGTATGTGACTCTTGAACCATAAATGCAGAGAATCTGTTTCAGAGCGTTATGCAGCAAGGGATGAGGCATGTGGTTTTGTGAGGCCGTAAAAAAGAAGCTGCCCAATAAATCCAGACTCTTAATTAAGCCCTTAAAGGTGAAAAATAACCAGAATGATGAATATAATTGTCAATTAGAACAAAGGCAATCCTGTGTTTCTCCTATCCCCTCCCAGACAAGCAGACACACTATGCAGGGACTGAAAATAATTTTTCCTCTTTGTTTAATCTTTTTCAATAACAAAATGTTAAAGCAGCAGTTTCTCTATAGATGTCATTTTTAAGGTCACTTGAAAGTTGACAATATATATTTTGTGTATATAAATATATAAGTATATATATATATATATATAAATAATCACCAATAATGTACAGTAAAAGGGGAGCTTATTGGGTTTCCTATTCAGCCCTAAGATACTTTTTTACATCAGCAACTGGGTGTGAGGTTGGGAATCAAAACAAAGTGCAAGTCCGCTGTGCAGTACATCTGACCATATCTAAGATCAAACTTTTCTCTCAAAATCTCTATAATTGATCACTGATAGCATGCAAATTTTCCTTATTTGAATTTCACTTTTGCTCAATTAGACCCTAAGATCTTTGAAGATGCTGTTGTTCATTCTTTCAAAGCCATGCAAGCCCAGCTTAGACCTGGGCACGGGATGAAGAGCAGCGTGATTAATTTCTACTCTATAATTTTTAAGCCTAACAGTCAACAGTCTCTCAGAGTTAAAAAAAAAAAAAATCCAGTCAGACAAAAAGCCTGATTTGAGATGTTATCAGCTTCTTTCCCAACTTAAGTTCTGCTTTAAGATTTACTGCATTTCTCTATAGTTGACTTCAAAGATACAGTAAGTAATTTAAAGTAAAACTTCAAAGTGATATAATTCTATTGTATCATAGCTTGAGGGTTGAAAAACTCAAGAAACCATTGGATCTGTTCTGATAACAATCCCACCAGTTAAAAAAGCATGGTTTTTACATAGTCATTTGATCAAATAACCCAACCTACAGTTTTAAGGAATGATCAAGGATATCCATATACCAGAGTGAAATTATAGCTCCTTCTGAACAATTACTTTATATTAAAGAGGAACAAGACATGAAACAAAGACAAATTTCCCAAGAAAATTGATACTTTTAAACTAAATATTCTTTAACATTATCAATTTAGAAGACAAAGTCTTTAGTCTACTTAACAGTTCAAATGCTTTTCATGGGATGAATGCAAATACGCATAATTTCCAAACTCATTTCAAACATATGTGGGTAGTTGGTTATTTTTAAATGATGCTTGCTAATGCAATGGCAACAATTTTCAAAAACAGATGATGACAATGTTTACAGTTTCATTTTCATTTTTCATACATGTTGTGAATAATTGTTTCAAAATTAGTAGAGCTAATGTCCTGAGATAATTTCACCTTTTTTGTATTTACTGTTCCTGATACTGATATCAATGTGATTAATACATATCAAAGTTACTTGTCACATTAGTTATGTGTTTCTTCTTTCTGTAATAACAGATGTAATAAAATGTATACAAATACCTTTGACTTTTAAAATCCTCTAAGCCCAGTAGTTTGTTGGAGGAGAGCCATTTCTCCATGGCATTTCTCCATGTCTTATGTCAGCTTGTGTTCTGGACAGTTTTTCAAATATGCTTACATAGCCAACAACCTTGGAACACAGAGACTGCCTCCTTATTGAGCAGAAAGCAGGTTTTATTCTTGACCAGAAGAGTAAAGATAATGTTTGCCTTCAGGACAAAGGCTGGGCAGATATTGCAGCAGACTCTTAGGCTCAGGATTCTTCAGTTTTGATACAAACTGTGTGTGCAGCACCCACCAGGGCCTGTCTGTGCATTGCTCCCTTACGGTGTGGAGGTGGGGCAAGAAGAGCCAATGTGAACATGAAACTTAGGCTGTGACTTGAGTAATACAGCCCTAGGCGTCTGATCCAGGGCTTAAGTGGCTACTATCAGGATCGATGGAACTCTGGCAGGCTAGCCCGTTAGCTTGCAACTAGGATAAAATCTCAGACCCTTTATAATTCTTGACATAGTAAAACATTTTCTTAAGATACAGGGTTCTGATTTCCAAAGTTTCCCAGGGGGTATGGCATCATTAGTTTATTCCAGCCCTAACCTAGTTCTTCCAGATGCAATCGGTAGTTATGTCAACAAGAAACCATGCTATCAGTGCTGACTATTAGGTTTGTTCAGGATTCATGATGATAGAAGACAGGTTATGAGTTAACAATGTCCATTAACAAGAGAATGTTTAATGTGATACGTCATAATCTGGATAGGGTAACAGCTTTGACATTCAAAGAGCATGGTCTTTTTCCCAGCATTGACTTAATTCTGTGGAATTACAGTGCCCGAGCTGGTAGTCAGGCAGTCTACCGACTATTGTGAGAACCAACAAGATGATGAAGGAAGTATATTGGTCATCACATAAAGGAGCCAATAGGGGCACCTATAAAAATAAAATCAGCATTCTGTATACTTTGCACAAACTTCTAGAAATGGGTTATTTTATAATTAATTTTTACACATCCAGTGTTTGCACTTGAGAGTCTTCAATGTAGGAAGGACAATGTCACATATAGAACAGAACAATGCCTAGAACAGAAGCAGGCAAAGAACAGGTGCAATTTCAAGTGCCCATAAACAAGGGCCTAAATGTTTGTTGTCTGACATGCTGGAATTAACAGAGATTGGCAATTCTCTACTACAGCCAGTATGGTAGTGAGAGATTCTATCTTTGGGGACTGCATAAATACTTCAGGAAAACAATATCACTTCAACTGGCTCCTCAGCTAATACTTTTTTCCCATCACTCAAGAACATGGGTGAAGTTAATTTGGCTTAAGGGAGAAAGATCTATATGCAGATATAAAGAAAGAGTGATGAAGTTTCCCCACATTCAAAAAAACACAGGAAAAACTCTATGTATATCACTTTGTTCCAATATTTAATGTGGCTGAACCTATACAGTACTTGGGTGTTTGAGCAAAGCCATAAATTGCTTTCAGTATATTAACAAGTGCTAGACTGCAAGCTTTGCTTCAGAGTTGTGCTTTGCACTGCAAATTTGACAATACAATCTCACCAGTCAGAAAACTGACAAAGCAATAAATAAATAATCCTTTAACTTAACCAGGATTAAAAATAAAGTGACATGAATCATTACATCCCCAGCAAGGGTACATGCCTATTCTCATACATCCTAGGATACCTGCTTATTAGAGCACTGGAATTAGGCCTCCTCAGAACTCTTTAATCCACTACAAAGCGAAATATGAATTCTAGAATGAGGTATTTTCTTTGGTAAAACTCACAGAGTGAATACTGAAGTTAATGTCTAGATCATAATGAAATCAAGGAAGAAAACCTACTAATAAACTTGTATTTTAGTTTTTTTTTAATCATCTCAGGTTTGGATGTCATCTTAGCAATTGGACTTCATATATGTGTCTCTGACCTTGGCTCAGTAAACTGTGGTGTCCGTAAACAAGGGCCTATGTTTCTAACTCACTTTTCTTCTTTTCAACCCCAGTGCAGTAATTTCTTGTAAATGAATTCTTCTCTCCTCTCTCAATTGACGTTTCACTGTTGACTGTATCAAAATTACAACTCAGTCATAAAAGCAATAGTCCTAGTACAAAAAAACAGTTTTTTCTCTTTTCCTATGTTAACTCACATTAGGATTTGCTTATTTGTTTTACAAATTGTTTGTTTTGCAATTCTGGAGTAAAGAATTTCTAACTCTCCCTTTATTTGAGCAGGGAGAGAGGGGAACCTAAAAGAAAACTTAAAGCTGTAGATTGTTGGGTACTTTTATATGAGCTTGCCTCTACAGGAAGGCAGTGTGACAAGACACTGCTACGGGTTTTGAATTTTCTCCTTTAGATCACAGTAGGATGACCTTTCATTACATAGAGTGGTCTTCGAACAGCCACCCTAATTGGT